GAAAAGATTATATGCCATGATCAAATAGGATTTGTTCCAGGGATGCAAGAATGGTTACATATCTGCAAATCAATAAACGATAGATCATATCAACAGAATGAAGGACAAAAATAAAATGATCATCTCTAGATGCAGAAAAAGCACTTGATAAAATTCAGCATCATTTCATGATAAAAACTCTCAACTGGCTAGGTATAGATGAAAGATACCTAAATTCAATAAAGGCTGCATATGACAATTCGATAGTCGGCAATATACATAATGGAAAAAAAGTTGAAAGATTTCCGTCTAAGATTTGGAACAAGATAAGAATGTCTGCTTTTACCAAATTTAACATAGTACTGGACTGATTCCTATGGAAATGGATAGAAAATTTTTTAAAAATTACAACAATAACAACAAAAATACATAGTACTGGAAGTCTGACCCAGAGCAATTAGGCAAAAGGAGGAAATAAAAGGCATCCAGATTGGAAAAGAGGAGGTCAATTTGCCGCTGTTTGCAGATGACATAATCTTATTTGTACACAAACCTAAAGACTCTGTCAAAAAACTCTCAGAACTGATAAACAAATTTAGTAAATTTACAGAATATAAAGTCAACATATAAAAACTGTAGAATTTCCATACGAATCCATAAACATGATACAGCATATTAGTGGAATGAAAGGCAAAAATAATATTATCATCTCTATAGATGCAGAAAAAGCATTTGATAAAATTCAATATCACTTCATGATAAAAACTCCCAACCAATTAGGTATAGATGGATTGTACCTAAACACAATAAAGGCCATATAGGCAAACTCAAAATGTTGAAAAATCAAGAAAGAAATCTCATTCACAGTAACTGTAAAAAAGCATAGGAATAAATTTAACCAAGTATGTAATGAAAACTATAAAATACTAAGGAAACAAATTGAAAAGAACACAAAAAATTGAAAGATATTCCATTATCATGGATTGGGAGAATTAATATTGTTAAAGTGACCATACTATCCAAACCAGTCTACAGATTCAATGCAATCCCTATCAAAATACCAATGTCATTCTTTATAGAAATAGAGAAAGAAATCTTGAAATTTGTGTGGAACCACAAAAGACCCTGAATACCCAAAACAATCTTGGATGAAAATAACAAAGCTGGAAGTACCTGACTTCAAAATATACAGCTATAATAACAAAAATGGCAAGCAAGGCATTGGCATAAAAATGGACACATAAACCAATGGGACAGAATAGAGAACCCCAGAAATAAATCCATGTATTTACAGTCAATTCTTCTTTTTTTTCTTTTTCTTTTTTTGGAGATGGAGTCTCGCTCTGTCGCCCAGGCTGGGGCTCAGTGGCATGATCTCGGCTCACTGCAACCTCCACCTACTGGGTTGAAGCGATTCTCCTGCCTCAGCCTCCTGGATAGCTGGGGTGACAGTTGTGTGCCACCACGCCCGGCTAATTTTTGTATTTTTAGTAGAGACAGGGTTTCACCATGTTGGTCAGGCTGGTCTCAAACTCCTGACCTCGTGATCCGCCTGCCTCAGCCTCCCAAAATGCTGGGATTACAGGTGTGAGCCACCGCGCCCAGCCACTCAATTTATTTTCAATAAAATCGCCAAGAACATATACTGGGAAAAGGACAGTGTCTTCAATAAATGATGCTGGGGAAACTGGATATCCATATTAGGAAGTATGAACCGCTATCTCTCACCATTTACAAAAATCAACTGAAAATGAATTAAGAACTTAAATGCAAGACCCAAAACTATGAAACTACTGGAAGAAAACATATAGAAAACACTTTAGGGTGTTGGATGCAGCAAAGATTTTATGATTAAGACCTTGAAAGCACAGGCAAGAGAATCCAAATATGTGAATAGGACTACATCAAACTAAAAATTTCCTGTACAGCAACGAAAACAATCAACTGAGATAAAACAGCAACTTAGAGAATGAAAGTATTTGCAAAGTATTCATCTGATAAGGGATTAATAGCTCGAATTTACAAGAAACTCAAACAACAGCAAAATAGTAGTATGATTTTAAAAAGAGCAAATGTGTACCCATCACCCAAGCAGTATACACTGAGACCAATTTGTAGTTCTTTGTCCCTCACCTTATTCCCTCCCTTTCCCCGAGTCCCCGGAGTCCATTATGTCATTCTTGTGCCTTTGTATCCTCATAGTTTTGCTCCCACTTATGAGTGAGAACATGTGATGTTTGGTTTTCCATTCCTGAGTTACTTCACTTGGAATGATAATCTTTAATCTCATCCAGGTTACTATGAATGCCATTAATTCATTCCTTTTTATGACTGAGTAGTATTCCATCTCATATATATATGCATATATATATGTGTGTCCGTGTATATATACATATATATGTATATATATATGACAGTTTATCCGCTCATTGATTGATGGGCATTTGGGTTGGTTCCACATTTTTGCAATTGTGAATTGTGCTGCTATAAACGTGTGTGCAAGTATCTTTTTCGTATAATAACTTCTTTTCCTCTGGGCAGATACCCATTATGGGATTGTGGGATTGCTGGATCAAATGGTAGTTCAACTTTCAGTTCTTTAAAAAAAACTCCACCTTGTTTTCCATAGTGGTTGTGCTAGTTTACATTCCCATCAGCAGTGTAAAAGTGTTCCCTGTTCACCGCATCCATGCCAACATTTATTATTTTTTGATTTTTTGATTATGGCTATTCTTGCAGATGTAAGGTGGTATCACATTGTAGTTTTGATTTGCATTTCCCTGATCATTAGTGGATTTAGCATTTGTTCATGTTTCCTTGCCCAGCGTGGTATCTTCTTTTGAGATGTTCCCTATTCAGCTTAGCCCACTTTTTTGATGAATATTTTTTTCTGCCCTAAATTGTTTGAGTTTGTGTAGATTCTGGAATACTAGTCCTCCTTGCGTCAGAAGCGTAGACCGGAAAGGATTTTTCCCACCTGTGGTGGTTCCTGTTACTGGCCTGTTGACCTGTTTTCCTTTTCTTCTTTTTTTTTTTTTTACATTGCGAGACAGAGGTTCGCGTCTGGTGCTTTTTGCCCACGCTGGAGCTGCCAGTGGCGGCATCTCAACTCACTGCATTCCGCCATCGCAGGAATCACACCATTCTGCCCTGCAGCTCGATAAACTGGATCCAGCTCGCCCTGCCCACCCGCTCCCCGGCTAATTCTTTTGTGTCTTCAGTACAGAACCAGGGTTCACTATGTTACAGGATCGGGTTCGATCTCCTGCCCTTGTGATCCTACCGCCCTTGGCCTCCCAAAGTGCCTGGGATACACGACTTGAAGCACCACCGCCCAGGCTGCCTGATTTCTTGCAGAAAAGCTCTTTAGTTCCATCTGCGCGTCAATCTTTATCTTTTGTTTTTATGCATTTGCATTTTGTTCTTGGTCTGAATCCTTCCCTAGCCAACCTAGGAGGGTTTTTTTTCGATGTCAAATCTTCAGATTTTATAGTTTCAGCTTAGATAAGGTCCTTGATCCATCTGATTGATTTCTTGAAAAGAAGGTGGGAGATGAGGAAATCCAGTTCCATGTCCCTACATGTACTAGCCAATTATCCCAGCACCATTGTCTGCATAAGGTTCCTTCCCACGTTTATGTTTTGTTTATCTTGTTGAAGGCAGTGTGGCCGTAACTATTTGGTTATTTCTGGTCTCTATTCTGTTCCATTGATCATGGCCATTTTCTCCAATACAGTAAAAAACCCATGCGGGTTTGGTGACGCGATGGCCTTTATAAGAACTCAGTTTGAAATCAGGAATGATGAAAATGCCCTCCCAGTTGTCTTTTGCTAGTCTTGCTTTGGCTATCCAGGCTCTTTGGGTTTTTATAGTGAAGTTTAGACTTGTTTTTCCTAGTTTTGTAAAAATCGTTGGTGGTATTTTGATGGGGAAATTGCATGAAAAATTTTATAGATTTCTTTGTAGCATGGTAATGTCTCCACACTCCTATCTAACCATCCTGTGAGCATGGAAATGTGTCCCTTCTGCTTGTGCTCACCGTTGAATTTTTCAGCAGTGTTTTTTTTGTTGCTTTGTTTTGTTTGTTTTTGAGATGGGGTCTCGCGTCTGCCACCCGGCCTAGAGTGCAGTGCCGCTCGCTCGCAAACTCCACTGCCGGTTCACGCATTCTCTGCCTCAGCCTCCAAGTAGCGGGACTACAGGTCCTCCCACCATCGGGCGGCTAATTGGCTGTGTATTTTAGTAAGGATGCGGTTCACCGTGTATAGCCCCGCAACATTCCGATTCCGCCGTATCTGCCACCTCCGTTCAAAAGTGCGGATACAGCCGTGACCCACCCACAACCCGGCCGTTTTCAAGCAGTGTTTTGTAGTTTTCCTTGTAGAGGTCTTTCACCTCCTTAGGTTAGGTATATTTCTAAGTGGTTTTGTTTTGTTTTGTTTTGTTTTGTTTTGCAGCTATTGAAAAAGGGATTGAGTTCTCGATTTGATTCTCAGCCTGGTCGCTGTTGGAGTATAGGAGAGCTACTGATTTGTGTACATTAATTTTGTATCCGGAAATGTTGCAGAATTCTTTTATGAGTTTTAGGAGCTTTTTGGAGGAGTCCTTAGAGTTTTCTAGGTATACAATCATATCAGCAAACAGTGACAGTTTGGCTTCTTCTTTACATATTTGGATGCCCTTTATTTCTTTCTCTTGTCTGATCGCTCTGGCTAGGACTTCCAGGACTGTGTTGAAGAGAAGTGGTGAGAGTAGGCATCCTTGTCTTTTTCCAGTTCTCAGAGGGAATGCCCTCAACTTTTCCTCATTCAGTATTATGTTGGCTGTGGGTTTGTCATAAATAGCTTTTATTACATTGAGGTATGTTCCTTGTATGCCGATTTTGCTGAGAGCTTTAATCATAAAGGGATGCCAGATTTTGTTGAATGCTTTTTTTTTGCATCTATTGAGATGATCATGTGATTTTTGTTTTCAATTATGTTTATGTGGTGTGTCACATTTATTGACTTGTGTGTGTTCAACCATCCCTGCTTCCCTGGTATGAAACCCATTTGATTGTGGTGGATTATCTTTTTGATTTGATTTTGAATGTTTCCATCATAAAGAAATGGTAAACGTTTGATGTGATGAGTGTGCTAAATACCCTGATTTGCTTGTTACACATTGTATTCATGTATCAAAATATCACACTGTACTATATTAATATGTACAATTATGTCAACTAAAATAAAAATAATAGCCATGACTTTAAATAACTTAAGAAATAATATGATGGACCAGGGGATGAGGAAATAACATGACCCAGCCCTGACCAATCAGGGTTTCCCACACTGTACCATATCTCCCTAACAACAGGTATTAGTCCAAAGGTCATCTTCTCTGGTTCTTTATTTATGAACATTGTGAGAAAGATGTCTATTTTTCTGCTGAAGCTGTTAAGATAGGATAATAGAGAAGCTGGAGCTGATAAGCTGATATTGACTATCTTCTTTAGAAATACAGAGCTCTGATGACAAATTTGAGTCTCTGAATTAATCATGTCTCTAGCCAACCTCACCCCTCCCCGGCCTTTCCAGATAAATTTACATGTTGAATCTTTTCTTTAAAACTGTTAACTTGTGGCGGTCTGCGCTGCGGTGTGAAGGGCTCGAAGATGGCCGGTTGGCAGAGCTACATGGATAATCTGATGTGCGATGGCTGCTGTCAGGAGGCCGCCATTGTCGGCTACTGCCATGCCAAAACCTCCGGGCAGCCATGGCCGGGGGCATCTTTCAGAGCATTATGCCAATAGAAATAGATATGATTGTAGGAAAAGACTGGGAAGGTTTCTTTACCAACGGTTTGACTCTTGGCGCGAAGAAATGCTCAGTGATCAGAGATAGTCTATACGTCGATGGTGACTGCATAATGGACATCCGGACAAAGAGTCAAGGTGGGGAGCCAACATACAATGTTGCTGTCAGCAGAGCTGGAAGAGCACTGGTTATAGTCATGGGAAAGGAAGGTGTCCACGGAGGCACACTTAACAAGAAAGCATATGAATTTGCTTTATACCTGAGGAGGTCTGATGTGTAAGCAGCCTCTCCCCATCTACCTAGCAACTGTCTTCATCAACAACCCTAATTGTGGTCACAGTGCTACCAAACTATAGATGGTAGCTAATTTTTCTTTACCTATTTTCTAATGTCATGATTCCTGTTTGCCCAATGGATCATTTATATGTTAACCACTATATGTAACCAACCCTTATCTGGCAACATAATTGCAGCACAATAATGATTTGCATGATACCTTGAAACTGGGGGGAGGGGGCATGCCAAGTTGGGCATCACTTTGTCTTAGCAATTAATGGAACATTGATTACTAAAATATGTTAATATTAAGCAAGGTGCCGGTTGTACAATCTCTGATTAATGTATTTTCAGCACTTTGAGCATTTACTTGGCTCATTTAGTCTTCCTTTTGTAGCGCATGGTTGGGAGGAAAAAGTGCATGCATCTTTCCTTCACTCTTCTCTTTTTCCCGCCCCCCTCTCCCTTCGCACATAGGCATTTAGTTTGCTTCCATCTTTTTTTATGCAGTGCCTGTTTTTTTTAAACCAGTTAATATCCCTTTTGTTGATGAGCTATTGAGAGCTGCAGTAGTTTGCTTTTAGTATTGTTGTTGTGCTTGAGTAGAGACAAACCTTTATTCATAGTGTCTATAGGACATATGAAGAGTGCAATGGCAAAACAAGAGCAAAAAGCACTTCCTCCCGTGACCTTACAGTAACCATACTGATTGAATCCCCGGGGACATTCCATCATTGCAATAGCTCAGATTTTTGTTCCTGTCTTTTTCTTGGCACACCAGCTCTACTCTTTAGTAAAATTGTAAAAGGTTGCCATTATGGACATTAGGTATCCCAACATAACCATCTGGAGTGTCTCCAGTTTGTTCTTCATAGGACCAATTTTTATTTGCAGCTTGAGTTTTTATATGAGGTTGTATTATTGTAGACTTGGCTGTCCTGTGATGAATTTTTTTCATATGTATTCAGTGCCATATCATTGCTAAAATGAACTGTTGCTATTGTGAGATGGATTTTAACTGACCTATTAAGGGTTTCCTTCGAATGGCACTACTTTAGGGACGTTCTAGTATTTGCTTCCATTGTTTGGGCCTTGTGGATGATGTACAGATTTAAAAACAAATCTTGTTGCTGATTTGTCCATTTCTTTCCCTGCACTTTGTTACATCTGGGATACAGTCATAACTCATCTGATTTAATATGCATTTTAAAAAATACCATAACTATTAAACACTTTGTTTACAGACAGGTGAAATAAATTTATTCCGACCAAAGAAAAAAAAACTATTAACTTGTGAGTAAAAAGGTCTTGCTTCTATAACACAAATATTATTTGTTTTTAAGTGAAGGCCCAACAGATTTTAATGTTCTCTCCATCAGTGAACTATAAGTACTAGAAGCGTAGTCTTGGACATGTCACTTTTATTAACCTTTCTAATTCCTAGTGTTACATCTGAACCCTTGAGCTTTGACCTATTATAAGGATTAGGAGGTAGAATAAATGTAAAGTGCCAGGACCAGACACTTGGAAAGTTTTTTTAAAACATCCGAGCTCTTTTCGTCATTTGTAAGTTGCACTGTTAGTTTATTAACAGTTTTTGAGGGAAAACTTGAATCTGCATTAAACATATGCAGTGTTTTTGGCTGATTGGCATACTTATATTTATCCCTTCAATTATGTAATATTTTTCCATAAATATCCAAATTTTAAGACTTATATTTTTGAGAAATATAGAGTCAAAAGCATTTTCTGAATTGACTTTGGCCACAGGTTACTCTGCACAGCATCACTGAGACACACCTATCTCTAAAGCTTTTCTTACACATAATCTCCAAGACATATAATCCTGTATGGAGACACTTGAATTTCCACAAGGGTGCTGGACATTTCCTCAGGACCTTAGGGCGCTGGAGGCAGATAAGATCTTTCAGAATCAAATTAGCTCCCCTTGGCCTGAAGCCTCACATGCTGAGATACGGGGTTCCTAGGGTCCCTCCTGAATGTGGTCTTCAAGATGAAGAGAAAATGTTAGACTATGAGATTCAAAAGAGAGGACTCAGAGAAACACCTCCCCTGGAATCAGAACCAATTTTAGTATTGAGATTCTGTCAAAGAAAGATATAGAAGCTAAATATAGGGCCACCATTTGAAGACACAAGAAAGGTCAGATTTCACAGTGTTAGTGCTGAGATGGGGCCAATTGTACAATATGATCCCAGAATCTCAGTGTTGACATCATTCCAAGTTTAATCTTCCAATTCTCCAACTTAGAATGTCATCTTTTCCTCCTTCACTCCCACGTCACCTCCTGCAGGGCACTTCTGCATCGCGTGCAAAGCATCTCCCTCGATGGCTATTTTCTGTGCTTGCCCCGGAGTCTTCTCTGTGTTGCACCTGTGATCACACTGTTCTATAACCAGCTTCTTCCCCCAGAGGACTGAGGGCTCCCTCCATGTATCTCCAGTACCTAGCACAAAATGAGTGTTATTGCATACTTCATTTTTATTTAAAAATGGTTCTACAAAGCTTATAGTGAAAACTCTACACTTTCTCTAAGTTTTCAGAGACAGGAATTTTTCCCTATCCCACATCTCCTAATCGGAAAATTTCTGTTTTGTAAAAGCGGCCACTTTTTATTCTTCAAAAAATTAAACATTGAATTGACATGTGATCCAGCAGTTCCTCTTCTGGGTACATACCCAAAAGAAGTTAACGCAGAGACCAAGCAGATATTTGTACATCATGTTTATAACAACATTATTCGCAACTGCCAAAAAGTAGAAGCAACAGAGTATATATGCATCGAGGGATGAACAAAATGTAGTAGATCCATACAATGGAATATTTTTCAGAATAAGGAAGGAAATTATTTTCCTATAATATGTATGAACCTTGAAGACATGAAGCTAGATTAAATAAATCAGACCGAAAAGGAAATGTATTGTATGAATCCACTTATATGATTCAATTAGTTTAGTAAGATTCATAGACAGAATGTAGAATGGAGGTTACCAGGGGCTGGGAGGAGGAGAGAATGAGGAGTTGTTGCTTAATAGACATAGCATTTAGTTTGGGAAGATGAAAAAGTTCTGGAGATGGAGGGTGGTGATGGTTACACAGCATGAATATACTTAATGTCACAGAACTGTACACTTAAAAATGGCAAAATGGTAAATTTTATTATATATTTTTTAACCATAATTTTAAAAAGAAGCAGCTACTCTGATGCTTTAAGTAACTTCTTCTTATCCTTAACTCCATATTTGTTTATTTCTTGTTCAAACTTTTTTTTTTTTTTGGAGACAAGGTTTCACTCTGTCACCTAGACTGGAGTACAATGACATGATCATGGCTCACTGCAGCCTTGGCCTCCTGGGCTCAAGTGATCCTCTCACCTCAGTCTCCTGAGTAGCTAGGACTACAGGTGCAAACCCACTACACCTGGCTAATTTTTCTGCTTTTAGTAGAGACAGAGTCTCGCTACGTTGCCCAGGCTGGTCTTGAACTCTTGGCCTCCCAAAGTGCTGGGATTATAGGTTTGAGCCACTGTGCCCAGCCTCAAACTTTCCATTTTAGAAAACTTCAAATACACAAAAACAGAATTACATAATGACTTCTCATTATCCATCATCACATTCAATAATTATTAACATTTGTACATCATGTTTCATATGTTTCCACTTTTTTCCAGGAGAATTTTAAAAAATAGACTTCAGTTCCAGAAGAGTTTTAACTACAGGAAAATTAAGAAGTTGTTTCTCCTGTTATTGACATCTAGCATTAGTATAGTTCATTTCTTACAATTACTGAACCAATATTGATGCATTATTTTTAACCAAAAACCATACATTACTCAGGTGTCCTTGGCTTTTACCGAATAATATTTTTCTCCTCCAAGGTCCCGTTCAAGATACCCTATTACATGGAGTTGTCATGCCTCCTTAGGCTCCTCTTGGCTGTGACAATTCCTCAGATTTTTCCTTGTTTTTGAAGACCTAGACGTTATTTTGAAGACCTCTACTAGTTAGGTAGTTTATAGAATGTTCCTCTGTTAGAATTCGGTGTTTTGTTTTGTTTTTTTTTTTCATAATAAGTAGGGGTTATGGATTTGGAGGAGGAAAGCCACAAGTGAAGTACCATTTTCATTACATCATATCAAGAATTCACACTTGCAGAAGAGGGAGTTAATGCTCTCCCTTTAAGGACAAAGTATCTACCTACCTTATTTGGAGTTTTTCTGCAGGGGAGAGTTTGCCTCCTCTCCTCCATTGATTTATTTATCACATCATTTTTATCATTATAAACTCATCTCACAGTTAAATAGTTCAGCATGCATTCTTTCACAGAATAGGGTTTTTAAAAAACATAAAGCCATGCTATTCTCACACTAACAAAATTAACAACAGTTCTCTAATTTTGCTAAATACTCAACGTATATTCAAATCTCTCTCTTGTCTTTTTCAACTGGTCTGTCTGAAACAGAATCTAGAGAAGGTCCACACATTGCAATTGCTTCTTATGTCTCTTTATTCTCTGTTCTTCTATAACATACCACCCACCCTACCTATGTTTTTTTTTTGTTTTGTTTTTCTCGAGCCTTTGATTTGTTGGAGAAACTGTTACCAGAAAAACAGGTCCTGATTCCCGACCCCAGAAGAGTATTCTTGGATCTTGCACAGGAAGGAGTTAAAGGTGAGTCACAGAGTACAGTGAGAAGGACATAGTTTGTTGAAAGTTACTCAGAACAGAGTAGGTGTCCTCAGAAAGCAAAAGGAGGAATGCACCATCTCTGTTGTAAACTCTTCTAATATAGGGGCTTAATCTATATAAAAGCTAAGTTAAATGTCTATGTGTGGGTGCTCTGACAGCATGACAAAATTTAGTACTTTGTTGATTTGAAGAAAGTTATCCTTGGCATTTTAGTTAGTATATCAAAGTATGACTATAATAATCTTAAAAGCATATATTGTAATGTGATGTCAGGACATGTGCACATTCTGTTGTCTGTCATAGGTGTTTGTTCTTGCAGGCATTATTAAGTTGTTTGTTCAGCTGTAAACCTCTTAGAACCATGGGTTGTGACTGGCAAGGAATATGCCTTGCTAGTTGAAAAATGGAGTTGACTTTAAAATGGTGTCACCCTGGCTCTCCCATGCTTCTGTTTCCCCAAAAAAGCCAGGTTACTTGTCCTGTAGAATGATCCACATCCTGAATTTGGCTAATGGCATTCTCGTGGTATTAACTCATTCCTTTATATGCTGTATTTTCTTTTACCCACGAAATAATTCTTCTGATACACATTTGTAATCTTACCATGCCAGCATCTGCTACTCTTCATGTTACCAAATTTCTGTTCAAGGACCACTGAAACCACAGTCAGTGGACATTCTGAGACCTCTAGGGGACGGTGGAGATACCGTCCTGTAATATATTCTGACCCAAGAAACCTCCCCACTTGGCATGGTGAATCTAGACAAGCTACAGAACTTACTACACCCCAGGCCTGCACCAGCCCTCTCCTAAGATCTTAGACACTCTCATTTCCCCCCCTTCTTTTTCTAAAGGAAGTCATAGTTTCTCATAACCTTTGCTAGTGATCCTGGACCTTGGTTGTTCCCTGAAGCTGTGTTCTTCACACTGCTGCCATCACTGCTAGAGCAGAGGTGCAGAGAGCTCAGGAGAGAGAAGGGAGGAAAAGCTGAAGATTTTGTGTGATTCATGCTTTCCTGACTCTGGTAAAAGTGCTTCCTCTGCCTGCAACCATTTCTGTTTCTATACT